CTACAATTGCTTTTTAATTTAATATATGTATATATAGTTCTTTATTTATTTAAGTATATAGACATATATTTACTTATCTTAATTAAGATTTTCTGCATTTCGATTTTTTCCTTGAGCGTGGTTCGCTTCTTCTTCCCTTTTCGGGAATTCCTGTGCTAATGTGGGGGTAAAGGGTTGCCAGATTGCAAGGATATTTGCATGGAACTTGAAAAGAAAGCAGAAAACATCAATTCCATTAATTAAAGTTAATTTTGTCTGCGATATTTATATAAAATTAATTAAAGAAGATCTCAACTCTTCAAAACATTAAAAAAAATATCTATATTCAGAATATATATTTGACTATATATTAAATTGAAATAATTTCCATTTTAAAAAATATATTAAAAAATGGCAAACCGCTGTAAATTTTATATAAATTGATTGAATGTAAATATCAAAGCTAGACTTAAAAGAACAAAAATGACGTGTATTTATTCATTTTATTAATTATTCATTAATATTTATCACTGACATCCATAAATAACAAAATTGAATTTTAATTAAATATCGAATAAGTTGTTTATAAAAGTTAAATGAATAAATAAATAATTACAACTTAACACCCTAAATATTAATAGTAAATATATAGATATTAAATATTGCCTATTAGAATTTAAGGCTTAGTTTATTACTTAATATTAATAAATAACATAAATAAATAAAGCAAATAAATATCTACATCTAGTTTGATTTCATTTAATTTAATTTCTTAACTTCTCAAGAGTTAAGAGTTTGCCAAAAAATTGCAAGTACTTTAAATTGTTGCAAAACCAAGAAAATATATACAAAATAAAAGTCACTAAAAGAAATGAGAAAATTTACATTTCTTCCTCTGTTCGAACACTTTGTTGAAAAATTGTACAGATTGTGATGTGTAAGCATTGTTTTCGAAAAATAGGAAATTCACCTTTCGAATTGGAATTGGGAATTGGAATAGGAAAAATTAGAGAACGCTGTGCTTAAATAGAAGAGTACATATGTACATACAAACACACATGCAATTACAGAGGCTGGAACGTGGAAGTTTAAAAAAAAACGAGGCGTTTTCATTTGTATATGAGATGTTGATGATGCTGATGCTGCTGAACTGATTTGAATGCAGATGCAAAACCTAAAAACTTAAATATACACATGAATACATACATAAATCCCCACACACATATATATATAAATATATATATACATATACATATACGTACCTATCTGGTTTTATGTTGTTTCCGAGAAGCGACAGAAGTTCCCTCGTTAAATAAGACGAATGCGTGCAAGTGTGAGTGTGAATGCTTTGTATTCACAATCCACAATCACAATCACAGGCAGAGGCAGAGGCAGCGCAGCACAGCTCGCTCTCGTGTTCATAAAATAAATATAAAAAAATATAAGAAAAACGAAAAAAAGAACTTGAAATGACTTGAATAAGACGTTAAATTACAAAAGGAACACACATTATGAGAACATTGCCGCGATAGTGCTGACACTATTGCATTTTGTTCCCGTGAAAAAACTGGCTGGCAATTTGGCTTTTTTAGAGAGCGATGCTTTAATTGTTAAATATGTAAATATCCGCGTTTATGTCCATAAACTAGCTTTTTTTCAGCAGCCTGACCTGTAATTTAGCTTTTTTTCAGAGTGCTTCTATACATTGTATTTGTTTGCCTCGCTTTGGCTTTTTATTGATCATATCGCTTTTACCCCGTCAAAAAGTAGCTTTCTCTTGGGTTTTCTTTAAAGAGAATTACTTCATTTAATATATGCATAAAAAATATATTTCACAATGTTTTCCATTTCTATATTATGAAATATATATTAGTCACCTGATTTTTCTAAATTTAATTTGCCGCTAAAGTTGCCAGCACTGGCGCAAAAAAAAAGAGCGCACAGCACGCAAGCCAGCGCAGCGCATTTTAAGGATCGTTCCAGTACCCGCTGTGTGCTCTTTCCCAAAAAGAAAAAAAAGACGTTGCTCAGGTTTGGGCATTAAGATGCTTGTGTGTGTGTTGCTGGTGACTTTCCAAAATAGAGTGTTCCTCGCCGCAGGTTGCCCGAAGAAGGATCGTTTTTGCCGAAGACGACTGCGCTTCTTCTTCCTAAATACCTTCGCTTTGAGAAATGTCTCCTGCATTTGCAGGTACTTGCACACACACAAACACATACACGGCTGCCTGAATCAGTTTTTGGTGCTCATTAGTACGTTACCATACTTATGTATATATGTATTAATTTGTTTATTTATCTGTTAACATATAAAAGCTGCTTAAAATAATTAAACGAAATCAATTCAAATACAATTATATTAATCTTAAATTATGTAATTTATATATGTATTTATTATATGCAAATGCAACTGAATTTTATATCACTTGTTCGATAACGTTTTATCTAAAGTAAAATCAATAAATTTAAACCAATACAGTTTTAAAAAAGATTTTGCTTATGGGAAGAAATAGAAAATGGGAAATAGAATTTATTTAATTAATATTAATTGAATGCATTTAATTTATATTAATTGATGCTTTTTTATATTTATTTATGATTATTTATAATTTATTTGTGTTTATTCATGCCAATTTATTTTAATTATATTTATTTTCATTTGTTTAGAATTATTTAGATTTATCTTACATTTTATTAGCATAGGTGTTGCAAGTGTGCAAAGGGTGTTTTTACAGGGTAAAGAAGAATTTATTTCATATTTATTCATATTTATTAACTTAATTATTTTTTTGCGTATAGGGTGTTTTAAAAACTTTTGTTGTGGGAGTGAACAGTGTATCAATTCCTAGGATTTCCAATACCATGAAAAATGTCATGCAATGAATGCTTTTTCCTATTTACAGATGCGTGTGTGTGTGTATTCGGTGGCATGTTGTCAAAGTCAAATATACAGATGAGGGCAAACAAATATGAGCGCACATACACATACGCACATGTGTGTTTGTGTATGTATTTAGTGTAAGTGTGTACATATTTACCTTTTGCGAAAACTACAGTTTGTAAGCATTTGATAGTTTCTGCTACTTCTTCCTTTGCTCCCATTTTTTCTATTCCTTCTTCTTCTTCTGTCATGAAATTAAATTATTAAAATATGCATCGCTTAAATTTGTTTGTTTTAAAAAGGCTTCGCAGGATCATCAAAATCGTCGCTGGTAATTTCTTCAAATTATTTAGACGGGCCATTAAATAAAAACCCGGATACAGGCGGGGTAATTTCTTTATAAAAAGAGCATTTTGTTGCATTAATTGAGCACTCACATACATACACACATACAGATGCATATGGAGCTAATGTGTGTGTGTTAGTTGTGTACAGTTTTGAGCGCTAGCAAAGGGAGCAAGTGGTGTGAGTGAGTGAGAGATACAGGATGATGATGATGATGACAAGCAAGTGCGAGTGTGTCTGCAATAGAGCAGGAGAGTGCGCGGGGCAGAGAGCAAAATACACACAAAGCGAGCGAAACAGATATCGCGGGTGAGCGTGTGCGTGAGTGAGAGAGAAGCAGCAGAGAAGAGAGCGTTGTGCAGACAGAATGTGGGTGCGCCTTAAAGATCGCCGTCGTCGTCTCTCTGCACGTTTGCTGGATGCCTGCTGCTGCTGCATAACAAGTAGCAAGTTGTTGAAGTTGGTTTCGTCGACGCCGAGCCAACATCCATTGTGTGCCTGTGTCTGTGTGTGTGTATTGTACCTGCAGCGGTATCAAAAGAGAGAGAGAGCAACGACAGTTTTATCTGTGCGAGTGCTGGCAACTTTTGGATGCAAAATGGCTGAAAATAATAAATAAATTATGAAACCATTTAAAAAATAAATTTTTAATTGTATAAAATAAATAATAATTATTTAATATCGTTTACGTTTGTGTGTATTAATGCTATGGCTTTGAAAATTTGTTTTAAACGCAAAACGGCTATAATAAATTAACTAAAAAAGAAAATTCCTAATTGCTTAGCTTGTTAAAAATTAATAAAACTAATAAATTAATATATTTATTTTTAGCGTACACATTCCTATGCATTAAAGCTATTTTATAATTGTTTTGTTTATTAATTAACTTATATAATATTGTTAATTATTTAGAATGTATAAAATTAAAAAAAATATATAAAATTCTTTGATTTACTTTTAATCTGTACTTTTGTATTTATTAATGCTATTTTGTTTGTGTTTTGCTTATTGCTTTGAACACCACGCTAAATCAGATATTTTTCACAGCTCATTTGGCAGCTCTGATCTGAGCAAGTCAAATTTAGCGAGAGGCAACTTTTTGCCTTGGCCATCTTCAATTTTTGCCCGCCTCTCTCAATTTGTTTTCCGGCTCTAAGTAAACATAAGCAGAGGCAGCGGCCGAGGCAGAGGCAGAGGCAGAAGCAGAGGCAGAGCAGATCGTGACCTGTGCGCATGTGTTGTTGTTGTTGGTGGTGTACACTTGTGTCTATGGCGGCGTTGCTGCCTGTGTATGTGTGAGAAGTGCTTATCTCACTCTCTCTCTGTGTGCGTGAGTGTGTCTCAATCTGTGTTGCTAGTATCTGTTTGATTTTTATTTTGTTTTTCTTTTTGTGTGAGTATGTATGTGTGTGTGCGTGAGCAGCATGCGTTGCTCCAGCTAAGTTAAGCGAGGCATTGCAAGAGCTGCTGCTGCTCAGTCAGTAAGACGACGACGACGACGACGACGACGTCGACGCGCCGTGTGCCTGTTTGCCGTTATTATATTGACTTTGTCACACTTAATTTATTTTTTGCCTTGCTGTTAGTACAAATTAAGTGCTTCATTTGCAGCAGCGTTTGTATATGTGTATGTGTATTGTGTCTATGTGTGTGTAAATACTGTATGAGAAATTATGCAAAATAAATAACATCAAAATACAAGTGCTAAAAATAATAATGAAATTCCAATGATAAATACAAATATATATTATGTGTATGTTCATCTGTGTTTTTAATTACATATATATGTGTATATAAATATTCGCAATTCATCAGTTGTAATTGAAAGCAAATCGTTGCATTTTCCGGCGGCGAACTTTATGCATGTGAAATGCCGTGACAGAAGTGTGTCTCTTTTCACATCGCATCCTAAGTGCTACTAAAACAAAATTCCTTCTCAAACGGCGAGCGGAGCTTCAATCGAAATGGATGCGTACACATTACCCACATACTTCCCACTCGCGTAAGTAACAACAAACTGAGCCTCACTGGCTGCTTCAAAATAGAATGCATGCCTGCGAAGTCCTGTGTATTTTTTTGGTTGTTAGGGAACATCCTTTAAATTGTCATACGACCAATTTTGTTGTAGTGGCATGCACATAAGTGTAAATATTTGTTATATGTATTATACATAATAGAGAAAAAATACTTAAATAAATAAATATAAATTGAGGTATTCATAACTAATGTAATATACGCTCTGTTTAAAAATTGCAATTAAATTAAATGAAATCCTGCAGCGCATCGCTGTATTGTTATCGATTGTCTGCAAGGAGGCTCATAGCGATCGCTGTGTATAAGCAAAATCTCTATGAAGAAGAAGAAGATGTGCTTACGGGCTAGCCTAGCACAAGAAGACGCAGCAATAGTTAAACTGTAAATGCGACGCCAAAACTTTGTATGCAGTTAATTGAGATCTCAGCACACAAGCACATGTGCAACCATGCAAGCAAGCATGTGTGTGTCTGTGCGTATAAATAGCAGGCGTAATAAAGAGCTTCAGTTTTTGGCCTCCCTTTCTGGATGCTGCTGCATGCAAAAGGCTCAATGTAAATGTGAATGTCGATTTTGTGGATGTGAATACGGGTTGTGAATATGGATGTCTTTGTTAGTGTCACGACGTCTTTTTCGGCATCATTTTATATATTTCCCTTGAGCACTGCATCAATTCCTTGAGCACTGCTTCAATCCCAAGAACCTGTTTTAATCATCTAAAAAAAAACAACAAACATATAATTATAAATATATATATATATATATATATATTATATTATAAATAAATTTTTTTAGCCACCAAAATCGTATTATTAATTTTGATTTATTTATTTTATTTAGTGGCTCCAAGAAAACAGTGCACAACTTAAAAAAGCCTTTAAAATAAATTGTACAATAAAAATTAAAGCTATTAAAATTAAAATCCAAGTCGCTTTATTATTACTATTATATGTTTATTTAATTTAACAATTCTTAAAAACGGTACACAAATATTAACAAGCTTTTGAAAAATATCAATTTTACATTAGATGAATGTATAAATATATAAATTGGATTATAAAAAGGAAAAATTTAAATATACAGGGAACTTTATATAAAAACAAATCAAAGTCGCTTTATTATTATTAATATTATTTATTTTATGTAATGTGCTTTAAAAAAAGTCCTCCAATTTATAAAAAGTACAAATTTTAAAATAAGTTAATGTAATATAATATAATAAAATTAATATAAATTAATGAATAATATATAAAATTAAATATTAAGATATACAAGCTAATTTACGTCGAATGCAAAATTCAACTTGCTTTATTATTTATTTATTAAATTATTCTATTTTAAAAATACAAATTATAAATTAAATTAAATATATTGCATAATAGCCATATTTAAAAATAAAAATATACAACATATTAATATGAAAACCAACATCCAAATTGCTTTTCTATTTATTTATATAATAAAAAACTTTATTTAATAGAATTATTACAAAAATTAATATTTAAATTAAAAAGATGAGAGAGTAAACATAATAAAGGATATATAATAAGCATTAAGGAATTAAAATAAATGTTAAGTAAGCATTGTTTAAAATCAGAAAACCAATTATAAACTTAAAAATAAAGGCAGTAAATGAAAGACTAATAAGGAATTGGAATTAGATTTTCTATATTTAGATTCTATTGCTATTAACGTGGTTCGCATATAAAAACAGTACCTTTAAAATTTTTTTCTATTTGTTGGGCAGCAATAATTATTATATAAAGTAACATATGGAATTCGAAGAAATATATATATATATATATATATATATATATATATATAGAATTTGGTATTCACATCACGAACAAAATTGAGTTTGACATAGATAGACTTGGTTTTAAATTTTTTATTATCCCCAACGATTTGCGCAATTTAAAATAAAAAGAATACACAAATGGGCAACGAGAAAATACCCTGTATTATATTAATTATATTTTATTTTCATTTTTTTATTTAACTAATTAAATAAGCATTTTAATTCAATTATCGGCTATAAATTAAGGTTAACTGAGCTTGAAATCTATTTATTTTGGGAAATTGGGATATACAACTTCTCTAAAATTGATTAATAATATTTAGTTATTTATTAATTTTGTTTATTTATTTGTTAAACATACAAACTTTAAAGGATTGAAATTTAAAATACCACTTTCATATTTGTTATTTTTGTATCTATTTATTTAATGTGTAAGCAAATAGATGTTCTCTATTATTTAAGTATTTATTATATTTTTAAGTATTTATTTTTGTAATTATTCATTATTTATATCTTTTATTTATGTGTGTGTATTTTTGTATATTTACTTGTATACTATTTATAAGTATTAATATTTACAGGTCGCCGTTATATTTTTTTGTCTATATTATGATTTAATTGTACTTTGATACCGAAGGTATCACAATATGTTGCTGTCTGTCTGTCCATCTGAATGAATGCAACTTTTTTCGTTCTTGCCCACTCCGGCGCCTAAAAACGATTAAATCCAATATCCCCCGCTATTAAGAGCTACAGTTACCAAACTTTGAATGTAGATAGTAAGATCGTACTCCAAATTTTTTTTTGGCCACGCCCACTCTCGTCTGTCAAATTTTCAAAAGCCTATATCTCCTGTAATTTAAGAGCTAAAGTTACCAAACTTGGAAGGAAGATTACTAAGATCGTACTCCAACATTTTTTTTGGCTACGCCCGCCTCCGAAATTACCAGAAGCCTATATATCCCGCAATTTAATAGCTACAGTTACTAAACTTGGAAGGACGATTACTAGGAACTTTTTCTAATACATTTTTCGGTCATGCCCTCTTCCGCCCTCCAAAATTTCCAAATCCCATATCTCCAGTACTTCTTGGCTACACCCACCCTGTCCTTTGTTAATTGTTATCTGCTGGAATAACTTATGGTATCAAAGTATTTTACAGTCGGTTATCTTATATTTATTTTTACTTATTTATTTATTCATATATTATATATATTATTTATGTATATTAATTTGAATAGGTCTATATTTTATATTTTATATTTTATATTTTAATTTTGTTTTTATTTTTATATTATTTATATTTTTAATTTCATAATATTTACAGCTATACGGAACTGCAGTTTTTGGCATCCCGTCGTGCCGCGGCTGCCGCTGCAGCTGCCTCCGTGATGCCCAGTTCCCCTGGTGGTGGTCACACAACGGACGTGAGCAGTACGGTGCCGGTGCCCGGTTCACCCATTCCGTCAGGATTGGCAGACTCGACACCCACCACTGCGAATATGGCGACAACAAATGGCACAAATGGTGCCACAAATCAGGCGCTGGCAATTGGCAATCTTCCCGCCCATCATCATCATCATCATGTCCACAGTCACAGCCACAATCACAGTCACAGCCATGTCGGAGTCGGAGTGGGCGTAACTGGACAACCACCGCAGCAACATGATTTCCATCCGGCCTATAGAATTCCCAGCTATATGGAACAGTTTTACTCCTTGCAGCGCAGCAGTCCCACGGCTTCCTATCATGGTATGTATCCTCTAAAGAAGATATAATAAATATATTATAAATAATTTATAAATATG